GGCAGCCAGCATTCCTCAGTTGACTTTCCTATCATATTTCATTGGTTCTCTTTGTGTGCATCTCCTGTAAGTCATCCGAGAGAACATGGCTATGCCTAGCACTCTGTTCAATAGAACTTTCACCACCTAGCCACCAAGAACCAGCATGTTCAATGCTCCTTCCAATATTTCTTATCTTCCACATTTTGATGGGGGGAAAACCATGCTGCAGACAGGTATGTGGTTAAAGAGTAACTGAAAAAGCACCTAGTTTTAATCATGCAATAATTTGGACGATATCTCCACCAGCTTTTTTTTTTCCTAAAAAAATATTTTCTGGTGTAAACTTAAAGAGAAATAGGTAATATCACTAACCAATGTTACAGAGCTTACACATACTGTAAAAACAGACATTAAGTAATCATTAGCAGTTTTGGTATGGACCAGTCACTGTACTGAGGGTTTTATACATAGTTGATTGTCTCACTTGAAATTTAAAATAGGATGAAATAGGTTGGAACGTTCTAAAACTCAAATTTTTATACATGACATCTCAATATCCCTTTCATTTGTTTGACACTATCATCACTCCATGGTTTCAAAAACTATGAAAACTACACAGGTACTCTGGTCCTTAGCCTTTCTAAAGCTGGGAACTACTGAGCTACTTCCTGATGCCCTGTTTAAGGGTATAGATTGCTCAGTTTTGAACTGGGTAAAAGCAGCAGGAGAATTCTGATTTTTTTTTTTTTTTTGATGCAGAACGCATATGTAGGTTAAAGTTCGCGCTGGAAATAGCATGCTTTTGAAGACAAATAGAGATAAATTCTGAAGGATATCCCAAAACTCCAAAGCAAAGAAAATCTATGTGGTCCTGGATGCCTTGGAGACATAGTCAGGAGAATCAAAGATGTCTGTTCTTTGCATCATCATCTGGGGTAGCAATGAATTGTGGGAGCCTGGGTCTATTTGTCAGCCTTGTCAAAAGTATAGATGACTTCTGAGATCATTTCTTCTCTTTCCTCCGAAGTCTCTGATCTGCAGTTTTCTGTGGGCAGAATGACTTCCTTCTTTTCAAGTAGATGCTAGTCCGCAGTCTGTACCAGGTCCTTTTTGGTCAATATGGTGAAAGAGATGCCTCAGCTGCTTGCCAGGCCTCCATTATAGTGAGGATATAGAGGAGAAAGCTAGTTCCTCCAGGAACCTTTCTTGGAGCCTACATGCTTACATCATTTATTTGGTGCTACAGAGCTCAGAATGATGAACCCAAATGTAAAGTCTCTGTGCAATGATCTTTGCCTTCCCTGAGGCGACAGGATCACTGTAACTTTTGTTTTTACTTTCTTTTATGTTGACCTCCCGTCACCCCCCATCCCTTTGCAGGAAGCATTCCCATTGGAGGACAGTTGCTGCAGCTACCAAATCAGGAAGGGTCTTAAAAGATCATTGACAATTGCAGTCACCAGATTTCTTACAGCAGAAAACACACTCTGGTCTCTGAATTTCTGTTGCATAACCCTTGGTGTTCAGTGATACCCGGCAAATTTTGCTAAAGGAACAACCAGATGAGTGCTTCTTTATTACACTCCCATAGTGGCATAAAATTGTGAGAATGGTTTTTGGCAAATTTTAAGTAGGTTTTGTTATACTATGTTTTCTAAGGGTACTTCCTCTTGAGCTACAATGACATAAGATCCATAACTGTTGGTTAATTAGTTTGGTTTTACCTATACACTTTGGTGTTTTCTATTTACTTCTTCATAAAAATAAGATTTTAAAACTTTAGTGTCATATCTAAGTGTCTGAATTCTAAATTTTAAAGACAGTTAATGAAGAGAGCTTTTTCAATTCAATGTTTTCTTTTTCTCTCTTCCACAATTCCAGTTTTCACCTGTATGATAATTTTTAATAGTCAAAACTTATACTTTAACTCACTTTTATCAGTCAGCCCAAATAGAAACCTTTCAAATAGCATTTATAAAATGGATTCTTTTCATTCATTTTTGTCCTGCTAAAGTATGTCCCCTTAATGTGGGGTGTGCGTGTATGTGTGTTTTCTTTTGTGATATTAGAAATCAAAGAACTTTCTATATGGTAGGCGAGTACTCTACCACTGACTTACACCTCCAGCCAGGCTTATCTCTTTAAAAATTTAATGTATAATATTTAAAACATGGCAGTGTGTGTGTGTGTGTGTGTGTGTGTGTGTGTGTGTGTGTGTTAAAGTCATCCTTTTATCTGAGAAAACTATTCCCAGTTTTGGGGATGGAATTAATTAAACTCAGTATTTCTGAGTTTATGCCCAAACTGCTGTGACTTTCTCAGCAAGCTGCAGAGTTAATGGTGTGTTTTCTGGAACATGTTATCCAATTCTTGTAGATTATTCTGTCCTTAGATTCATTTATTTTGGATTATGAAAGATCTTTATGAGACATACACTGTCATATCAAGCTCAGGGCTAGAACTTCTGCATCCTCAAGTGCTGGCCATGGTGACCATGTAGTGTATCAACAGGTTCTGATGAGTAGGTTAGGTTTGCTGATCTAGAATTCTTTAAAAGAATGTTACAGTAGAGGGGCTCCAAACCATCTTTCTCCTGATTGTTTTCTTAGACTGGAAAGATCAGTTATTAAGGCTCTTTGCATATATCTTCCCACAGTATATGGACAACTGACTAGACAGATACTAAGTTGATAGTGAACACAAACCTATTTCCTGCCCCTCTGGTTTTTAATCATCGGGAAAATAAGACTGCTCACTTATAGCTTGCTTGGAGAACAACGCAAGCTCAAGTTCAAAGAACGCCATTGAACTCCCGAAGAAATTCATTCATATGTAACGTACTAATGCTAGGAAGTTCTGAAAGAATGTTAATATGTTAGGAAAACCTTCATGGTACATATATTCTCTGATTTCCACTCCTGATAACTCATGTACATAAAGAATGGTAGCATATGTTAGGTGCTAGATAGTACAGCTATTTTTGATTAAAAAAAAAATCTAGGAAGGTCAGATTCAAGATCTAAGTCCCTAGGAGGAGGTGTAAGTTTTCTCCTAACCCCAATGGCACCACTAAGGTCATACTGAGAGGACAGGCCCACAGCGTTTGTCTTACAGATTGCCAGAAAGTCAATTTGAAAACCATAAGGAGGTCTTTACATCCGGTATGTGTGACTGACTGTATTAATACATTGGCTGCCTTGGACTTGAAGGTCAGTAACCATGTAACCATCCATGACATCATCCAAGAAGGCTAACCCTCTATCATTTACAGTGCTTGCCATCATTCATGGAATTTCAGGCTTTGGATTTAAGTAACTATAGTCACGGGACAAGCTTTCCTAATTACTTATTCTCAGCTCTTTGTACAGGACTAATCAGTATGTGGGTTGAAAGAAACCAATTTCTGAGGAATCTCTACCCAACACAGGGCAAAACACCAGTATAAGGAAATTTTGAAACCATCAACAAAATGTCTGCCATGATATCTATGGATCTTGACAACACAGCAACAGCATTGGCAGCAGTTGTGTATAAATACTTATTTATGGTCTTTCTTTTTTCTTCCTTTTTTAAATCAACTTGATGGTCACCATGGCAATCATTTAAAACCGGTGTTTAGATACATGAAGATATTACTGTGGCATAATAGTGATCTATCAAGAGGAGCCGAAGTCCAACCTTTTTCATCAGAGGTTCTCAGCAAGGTAGTAACTTCACCCAAGAGGCCACAGGGTGGCTTGTGCTTAACATGAACCCTTCTGCAGCAGGGGCAGCGATTTGCAAGCTGCTGGCTAACACTTCAGCAGCTCTCATGAGCTTTTTGTGGTTCTAGTATTTTCATTGAGGGAATCTGGGGGAGTAAAAGTGGGTGGTTCTGGGAATTCTTCCTGTTTGTATATTACTAACTAGTTTGTATTCCCCACCCTGGATCCCACTTGCAAAGCATCAAGGGGGCATGCTTCGCAGTCAAAGCAGACATCCTCCTCACTTTGAATAAAGAGCGGAGGTTGTATTCCACGGATAGAGAGTGCTGGTGTCTTGGCAATATTTCTGGATCCCAGTGTGCAATGGGGATAGTGTGTGGGGAAACTCGGGCAAAGAGTAGGCCATCAGGTGGAGGGTTCAAGTCCTCGCTCTCCACGTGACAGCCGAGTGTCTCCAGGAATGTCACTCGACTTGTGCCCAAACTTCCCACTTTTAAAGGGATGACTTGGAAAGACAACTGCTCTGGATTCTAACTTCCACTCTGGATTCTAGTGCAGGCAGAGGAGTGAGTTGGAATCTTATTTTGAAGACACCAGATATAGCTCCTGCCTGGAGAGGCACCCCACTTCTGGTAAATTTCATTATCTTTGGCTACATAAATTGGGAACTGTTTTTCTGTTTGCGGTAGGGGTGTAAGATTTCTCCTCACCAATCCATAACACACACGCGATATTATAGTTTGGTTCACCAACATCTTAACAGATGAGGAACTGAGGCACAGCACTGAACAAGAGCAGACCAAGTCCCCTTGGGAGCTTTTTAAATAACTTGCCAGCCTTCCTTTAGTGAAATGGTTTTTTTTTTTAAAAAAAAATCTTGGCTTTGGAGACTGATTATCCTGTTCCTGTCCTCTGTTCTTGCTCAGTAGACAGCCTCGTTGGAACGCAGTATGTTTTGGTTGAGAAAACTATTTCCTTGCTTTAGAAAACAGTTGATTAACTGGAGCGTTTTACACAAAGGGGAAGTGAGCCTAGACATAACGTAAATTATGCTCTCAGTTTATCCGAATCGAAACCCAAACCAGCCAACCAAACGAATAGCACAGCTCATCAATAAGTCGTCTCCCTGTACTTGTTCGGTCATGATTAGAAGTATGAGGGGCAGATAAATGTGTACCTAGAAGAGACTAACAGTGCCGTTTACATAGTGTCAAGTCATGCAAACCATGCTGAAAGGAGGCGACTTTGTTGCAGTGACACAGGCAGGAAGAAGGCCGTGAGGAGCCCCTGCTTGTAGAGGGGGAGGGGCACTGCGCACATGCATGCGCTCGACACAGCCACTTAACACCATTGTAAGTGTTAGGTGTGAGAGTGAGTGAGCTGTACAAAGCCTGTCTGCAGTACCAGGAGTCAGCCAGTGACCCCTTCTAGCTGGGCTTGTTGGAAGGGGTCCATATGGAATCCGAAATGCCATCCCCAGTGGACGACATAGGCATGGAGCCACTGGGCGTGAAGGGGTCTGTGTCTGTGTCTGTCTCCCCCTCAGCCAGGTATCTCTTCTCCCTCATCCAGCTCGATCCCCCACTGGGGCCAAACATATAATCATCTCTGTCCTGGGAGATGCTGAAGCCACTTGGAGACCGCTCCAGCTCCTCGTGGTTGACAGACATGAGGGACAGAGGTGTGTCGCTGTCCCTAGTGAGGCTGCGTCTCTGGCGGGGTGAGATGCGGTCCGGGTAGGGGCCGTGCGGTTCTGTCTGGGAGTGATAGCTCACACAGGAGTCCAGGAGAGTCAAGATGGGCAGAACTGTGGGCCTCTCTGCATATGTACCTCCCGAGGAGGGGAGGGGGGCCTGAGCCTTTGTAGAACTGGGTCCCCCACGGGTCAGGTTCACAGGGTCATGTGAAAAAAACCCATAGGGGCCGACTCTTTCGATGGGCACCTGGTGGAAGTCGTAGGGAGGGCCTGGGGGGCCTGCCTCTGAGTAGTTGCAGATGATGGTTCTCAGATCAGAGTACCTGCTGTCCTCTTTCCTCCCCGCTTCTGCTGGGGAGGAGGCCCCCTTGGTCGGGTAGAACTCCGTGACGTGAACCTGCAGGCGCTCCATATGTTGCATGTGCATGTCCACCAGGAAGTCCAGCTTCTTCCCCATGTCGTGAACCTGGAAAACACAAGCACCTGGGATCACTGCTCCTCGGGGTGGGGCTGGGGCTGGGGGGTCAGTCACTGTGCCCTTGTTTCTTAGAAGGGATGTTTTGTTCAGTCTTAGCAATAACAGCAGCTCTAACTTACTCCATGCATTCTCCTAGAGACTTACTATTGACGTTCATCTAGAAATACACAGGCAAGGCTGTCACCTGCAGTCAAAGACTAGAAGCCCACAGATGGCTTGAGAATAAGTGTGACAAGCTTTCATCGTCCCTTCTGGAAGATGTGATGCTACTGTTTCTGTCAAGGATTGAGGTTCTTGGTTTTTTTTTTTTTTTTTTTTTTTTTTTGAGAGCTCTCTTATATGCAAGTGTACAGGCTTTTAGTGTCTGTTATTAATACCTTGTAACATACAATCTGTATGTTACAAGTGTCAGTGTCAGTATTAATGGAGTTTTACAGACCTAGAGGCCCAAGACAGGCTCTTGGGCAATGATGAAAGCTGCTTCTGCTTTGGTTACGGCATTCCCAAGTTGGAGTGTTTGTGAGCATAAATGTACAAGCATGTGCACATCTACAACACTGGAGATGTTGCATCCCTGACAACTGACACTTGTCTATAAACACAAGTCTGTATACCTTCATGTGTGATATTCCCCCTCAGACTGCTCAGTTCACCAAATCAGGCAAGTGAGTAACCTCACGGGATGGATGAGGCTGTGAGACTCAGGGTAGGTGACAGCTAAAGTACATCTGAGCCATAGTATATGGCTCATATGCATACAATAGACAGTAACTATGTGACTTTTGTAAGGGCATCACTGGCAAGCCACAACCGTGTGGAGATACACAGATCAATAGAAATGAGTTAATATTTAAAGAGAGAGCTAGCCAGTAATAAGTCTAAGCCATTGGGCAAACACTTATAAACACATATTAAGTCTTCAAGTGGTTATCTTATAAGCAGTTGTGGGGACCCAGTGGGCAGAAAGAAACTGATCCAAGGACTACATGGAAAAAAAATCTCCTCTACACCTAGAGCCCCAAACTTTATTTTTTGTACTTTACTGACCTACTTTTAATTTTTACAACCTTACAATATGATTGCTGTTGTGATGTCTGTTTCACAGGTGATGAATCAGTGACCGGAGAGGTGACAACTTGCGAAGGGTCTCTGTGCTAGTAAATATGAGAACTAGGATTATAAAGTAAAATTTAAAAATAAGAAGCAAGAGATCAATCGTTGAGATTTTTCCCCCCATTTCCCCTACATGGATCTAGTCTTTGGGTGATAGATAAAAGGACTGATGCTAGTCCTGGAGGCAACTGATGGAGTCCTTTCCCTAGTGGACCATAGAGATGAGCAGCATGGGGTATATTGGGCCGGCCTCTCTTTGTATCCCGAACAGCCGTTCCCCATAACTTGGCCCCCTGCCAGGCCTCCTCATGAAGGTCACCCACAGATTGGGACTAGAAAGGAACATGACACAAGGGGCAAAGGGCAGACATCTGTGACGGGACTACCATGAAGGAGGGACGCAGCAGTGCCGATCTGGGGGCTATTCACTGCACACCAGCTAACACTCCACGTAGTTTGCACATGGCAGCTCACTTAATCCTCACAGCAAGTCATGAAGTATTTAATTCCCTGTGCACAGACAAGCAAACCTGAGGTTCAAAACAATAATTAACTTGTAGGTGATTGCTCGGCCAGTGTAAGTGAAACTGGGGAATTAATTCCCCCCCCCTCTCTCTGTCCATGTTATGAAAAAAATGGAATCTGAAAATAAGTTTTATGGGTCTGGAAGGATGATGGCTCAGCAATTGAGAGCAAGTGTTGTTCTTGCAGATGGTCTGGGTTCAGTTCCCAGCACACACATAGTGGCTCATAACCATCTATAACTCCAGTTCTGGGGACCTCTGCAGGAATCGGTCATGCATGTTATGTGTATACATACATGCAGGGGAAACATTCATACACATACAATGATAAATAAATAGATAGATAAATACAAATTTACACAGTATGTTTTTGGTGAGGCTTACCTGTCTTTCAACCTTTACAAACTTCCCCATCATGCTTTGGTCTTCGGCTTCTGATGTGGCTGCCCTGGCTACATATGGTTCGTTCCTAAGGAGAAAAGGCAACAATTCCATAAGATCATCCTATGTTTTCACCGAACGAGGTCTGTGGTTCTCATGCATGCTACCGAAGCCTGGAGGAGGTTATTTTGACACACTTAATCAGGACTGCCGATTGCACGCTTACCTTCCTTGTAGGAAGATGTGAAAACAGGCAGGAAGCTGGGGTGAAGGAGGCTTTGTGTTGAAGTTTATCAAGTATCTAACAATGCCTAGAGTATTTATTCCTCTAAATGAAATGTCTTTTACTTTTCAATCTCAGAGCTTTTACCCTGTGGGGATGAAGGAGGAATTGTCTCATCTCTGAAATTCTATGGAGTAGGCATACACATTTCATCTGGTCCATTTTGTTAAGAATGGTAAACACCTGCTGAATCCATAGAACAATGCTAGAATGATGTTGGCGGGAACCGGGGGAAGGCTGTATTTTCTCTTTACATACAATTATTAGCTGCTTAAATTCTAGTTCTTTCCAGTATGTTTACAGTATGTGTAGAAGAGATGTCTCAGAGAAACTTGCTGGTGCTAAAATCCATTCACATTTGACTTTGTCTTGACAGCTGATTTTTTTTCCCCTCTCCCACGCCGTTGCCTCTGCTAAATTACCTCTCTGAACCATATCTTCAAGCAAAGCAAACCTCAAAAATGAGTGGCGTCATGCTACATCCAGCCTACCAATATCTCATTTGTCCTGCATAGATGCATTCCATTTGATATATAGTTAAAATTCATTAGTGAACATGGGGAACTTAAAGTCCTGAGTGTCCTTTTACCTACTTTCTGGGCAAATTGCTGCCCATTATAAATCTTCATGAGATAAGCTCCATAATCTCTCATTGTTACAGACTTCTGTCATACCTATACACTTTCTCTCATTAGTTCGGTGACTTCAGGAGTTAATATCTCTTAGTGTCACTTGTATTATGTATGATATGGGTGTGGTAAAGTATATGCCTTGGAGGTCTGTTTCATAGGAAACAGTCCATATATGCTATTTTTATCTTACATGTTAATTTGTTTATTTTGAGATTAGATCTCCTCTATACCTCTGGGTGCTCTCAAACTCAGTATGTTTCTTAAGTGTTGGGATTACAGGTGTCTACTACCACACTGGACTCCTGAAAAAAATCTTCAAACATCTCCAAACACCATCTCAAAAATGAGGAGATTGTTAGTTAGATGTAGCTTTGCATGCCTGCAATCCCAAAGAAGGAGGACTGGCATGGGTTTAAGGCCAGCCTAGGACATGTAGTGAGACACAGTCTCAAAAACAAACATCAAACCAATTCAAAGCCCCCAAAGTAATTAACTAGTCAATTAAAATAAAATAAAAATTAAAATATGAGTTCTCTATAAGGTATTTACTTTAAAATGGGGTGATATGAAAACAGGGCTGTTTGTTAACGTTAGCTACAAGGGAACATAGTAACAGTTATTCCCACTAGAAGGCCAGCAGCCTGGGTCCCACTATCCCTAATCTCATGCCAAGGCTAAGGCTAAAGTGTAATGCCTTCTTTTGCCACACCAATGCTCTTCATCCTAAGAAGGAAGTGAGGGAATAGTCACTCACTCACTCGTCTTGCTTGCCTTAAAGATGTTTTTGAAAGTCAGGTGTTGGTGGCACACACCTTTAATCCCAGCATTGGGGAGGCAGAGACAGAAGCAGGCAGATCTCTGTGAATTCGATCAGGCCAGCCTGGTCTACAGAGCTAGTTCCAGGTCAGGCTCCAAAACAATATTATAGAGAAACTCTGTCTTGAAAAAAACAAAAATCAAAACAAAAAACCAAAACCAAACCAAACCAAAACAAAAAAACCCCACAAAAACCCCAAAAAACAAAAACAAAAACCAAACCCAAAACCAAACAAACAAAACCCAAACCACCAAAAACACACACAAAAAAAGATGTTTTGGAACATACTAGTACAAATGCAACCAAAGGACTGAAAAGGACAATACTTGTTCAGAAACTTAAAATCATTTCTGGAGTGAGAATTCTCTCAGTTACATTGCTGTTAGAGGTGCTGGCACCTGAATGCCTTCTCTCATTTTGTCTTGGTTGGGATATCAGTCGATCCTCAGGGTACTGTTCAGGAGAAAGCAAATGAGCTGACCAAGGATGCATGTGCTCTGCCATCATCAGACATGTTCTCTGTTTCAATGAAACTCATGAATTTCTTCTTGCATTATAGCCAGAAAATGGTTATTTTCTATTCTAAAAACCATAAAAGTAAGCATCATTTACATGTTCTTGGAATAGGGGCATGGAGTCGACTTTGCAGCAGATTTTTCAAAGGTCCACGACCTCAACCAGCCTTCCAACTCTGTTCATTTCATGAGGGAGAGAGCATGTTTACCCACATAAAGGACCCAAGCTGAGACTGGGGGGGGTGAGGGGAGAGATACACCGCACAGGCCTTGTGTTCAACAGTCCATCAGTTCGCGGCCACATGCCCCACCTTGGAGACTGCTGGGATGGGTAGGTGAATGCTGACCCTTTCTGAGACTTCTTATGTTTTGGAGTGGATGGAGGTCCAGGGGTAAAAATCATATCTATTCTGAAAGAAGAAGAAGAAAAAACCAAGGAGTGATTAGATGACACAAAGTTTCATTGTTGTGATAACATACATTCTTAACATTTCCTAATTCAAATGTGGGTTTTGAATATATAAGGGAAGAAAGTCAAAGAATGAGAGATAGAGTGTGAAGAAAAGGAGAGAAATTGCCAGCCAGGATATCCGTATCTTCTTCAGCCTGGAGGCGCAAGAGCATTTTCTCAATCCCAGGGGTCCAGAGGGAGACAATCTACATGTATGTTGCAAGCCTATTTAATCTTCCAGCTCTTTTATCTGTCCCTCAAAAAACCCAATTAGAGGATTTTTTTACTGTCAGATTCAAGGTTTCATTCTCGGCTGCTATGATGCATGGAAAGATGGTTTAACCCTAGCTCTCACACCCTGCTTTTCTTCTGTTTCTGTACAGAATACCAGCTCAGCAGAAAGATGGTGTCCATCATACTGTAGGGCAGGGGCAGAGGAGGGGGGAGGTTTCAGGACGGCCACTAAGATGCATTCAGGAACAGTCTTGGGTCACATTTTCCTCTGGCAACTCGGCTTCATTTCCAACAGATATCCGAGGCATCATCTGAAGACAGTCCTTTCTGCCTGGCCCACTGAAGTACATACATGGCTGAGATTATGAAATTCATCATCTTGGCAGGCAACCTCCAGCCATAATCTCCAGAAACACACGTACTTGATAACTATCAAAAAACCATGGCAGTGTAACCGTCTGTTCTGTAAACACTAAAACTGCCTGATATTTTTGGAGTCTTGCCTGTTGTTGGCAGCATGTGGTCTTCCTCTTTCTCTCAGACAGCCATACTTGCTTGGCTGATCACATGGAGGACTGAAAATTTGTTCAGGCATTGTAAATTTGGCCAGCAGGCATTGGACCCTGGTCTACTATCTAGGACAATGTGAGGGACAAAGAAAAGTCATGAACAGAAACACTTGCAAGTTAACACTGTTGCCAACAGCTTAACTGGTGCAGGCTCCCACTACATCAGGAGGACATGCAGTGGCCGAGCACCAATCAGAAGAGGAGGCAGAAGCCCAAGTCAGTTTGAATTGCGTCAGTTTCTTTTCTGCTCCCTCATAAGAGGGAGTTGCATCATGTGTGTCACGCATATCTCTGAGCAAGCATGTGTTCACTTTTGTGTTGGTAACACACATATACGCATACAGCACATTGGTTCATATGATCACTGGGTCCGGGCAGAGTTCATCTTCTAGTATTGTGATGATATCATCTGTGACATACATAAATTTTTGTTGTGTTTTCAATTTCTTGACTGGGCAATTTGGAGTTACGACTTCCGCCTTCACACATTTTATTTCCCCATCGTAATTAAGTCACTTGGGATGTGATAAAGTGCCTTTTAGATCCCAGTGAGCAAGATACACCTATGTGAAGTACCTATGAGCTCAACAAAAGTATGGCATTATTCTTAAAAAAAAATCTCCATAAATGGTTTCAATTTTCTATATTTTCACTATTATGTATAAGACTTAAAATTTTAACATTAGGTTGGAATTTTACTTAGACTAAGTCAGCTGAGTAGTCTAGATGACCTGAGTTTTATAGTTATGCAAAGTACCATAGTCAGGAACTAGTTGGATATATGCACGTCTCCTTTTTTCCATCAATGCCATCATGGAGCTGATGCTGGCCATGGCAACGTCTCAGGACTTCTCTGTAGCTTTGAAGAACTGTACCAAACAGAACATAGCAACAGCCATTTCCCTTAGAAGGGTCAGAAAGAAGCCTCTGGTCACCATGGTCCCATTACTCTCTCCATACCATGCCAAGCCCACGTCTGAGAGTAACACTTGTTGGTCCCTACATCCATAATGCTTGATGGGCACTTCTGTCCTTGAAGTTTCTCTGCTGTGTTCTGGATTACTTCTGAATGTCTGTCTCTTAAAACTCTATGGTCACCCGACTTAGATTCCTGGGTGGCCGACAGAGCACAGGTGCTTGCATCTGAACATCCTACCTTGTCTGAAGGTACTTTATCCTGGAAAGCATGTCAAGGTGTCCTGCGGAATACTGTTCAATCACATCTTTCACGTCATAAGGCCTCAAAGTCTCTTTGAATTTTTTCTTATACAGACGGAATTGTAGAATCCTGTAAGGCAAAGGAAAGGTGTTTGTTTACAATGGAGTTTGCATTGTCTAGCAAACACCAGAACCAGGGGGCGGGAAGGAAAAGGGCAGCTCCTGGATGGCGAGGGCAGGCCTTGGGGTCTTGTTCTGTCCCTCCTCATTTATTAGGCTGGCTAACGCCAATCCTTCAATCATTTGAATAACAAAATTTAGTAACAACTTCTGAACACTCATCACACGGGAGACGCTAAGGATCGTGCTTTAAGACAAGTCTTCTAATTGCTTTGCAGAGGAGCAGTCATGGCTCTGAGAATGCCATCTCTCAGAGACCAGGATGTCAGAGCTGGATGGGGCTTGGGTGGCACCAAGCTTTTTGGATGCTGTTGCGGCCACACTGCTTTTTGTTTGAGGATGGCCAGTGCTTGTCCTCCTCTATAACTGCTTGCTAAATTTCCCAATTTAACTGTGACAGAACACCCACAGAATGCCTTAGGAAGGGATGGTTTTATTTTCACTCATAGTTTTATATGAATGCTTGGTGGGGAAGGTGTGGAGGTATAAACAGATCTAATTGGTACCACCAGAATCCAAGGTGGATGGGTCACACCACAGACTAGGGAACAGAGAGCTCAAGACAGAGCAGGGATAACTCTACAAATCCTCCAATGTCACCACTATACTCTAGTTTAACTTTTGTCTAGCTAGGTCCCTGCCAACTTTCCAAAACAGTACCACTTTCTGGGGACCAGATTTGCAAATTCCTGGACATTTTATATTTAAATCATTATAGTAGCTAAGCATGGCGTTATATATCTGTAATCTCAGCACTTATGTATAGAGACAGAAGGATCAGGACTTCAAGGGCATCCTCAACTATATAGTGAGCTTAAGATAAAACCAGAGCTATATGAGACTCACTCTCAAAATCCCCACACAAACAAGAACAAACCAAATCAAACCAGAACAGTAATTCTAATTCTTCTGTTTCGGGCTCTGTGAGTTTGTACAGGTTCATTACAACGTGGAAACACCGTCACCTCCCTCTTCCTGAAAATCAATCATGTCACTCTTAACGGTTACTGCCCTCTGAAGACTCCACCCTTCTTTGAATAAGCCAACCTAAGCTTATGGCCAGTCACACATAGTGTCAGGAGGCCCTGCCTTTGCCAGGCTCTTCCAAGTTCCCATTGGCACATGTCTATTGAATGACACAGTTCAAGTATATTTTGTCTTAAACCGTGGCTGCAGCTTCTAAAGAGAGTTTGGGCATACTGATCAGTTTACTCATCAGGGCACAGAATTCATGCCTGCTCTTTACGTAGATTCAACTGTAGTGGAGCCATTCAGCGGTGGCTCAACAGTCACATCTGCCTCTTGCCTGTGTTTAAACAGAATGTTCTAGGGGAAACCGGTCCACGCTCCGTCACTTATGCGGTGTGTGGCTTTGTATGCTAATAATGCATCGATGGATCTTGAGGTGATGATCTAGGGACCACAAAAGCCTAAGATACTGGCACTTCAGAGAGAAGGAGTTAGGAATGACCATCTCCTGAATTAAGGCATCTGAAAAATGACACGTGGGTGTACAGAGATGGGAACATGGGATATCTCAGTAGAGCCTTCTCTGGAACAGTCTGACCAACCAGACTTTCTTTCAATTAGTTTGATCAGTCATTGACAAATGCAACAGATGCATTTACCTAACCGCCTTCCTGTCATATCATACATATTAGTGAGCAGCCACGCCAAAGCCCTTGTTGGAGCCCACATCTTACGGAACTATCATGCTCCTGGTCTACTGGGTTGGAAATCCTGCTGAAAATATTGTAGTTAACTTCTGCCACCCATTAAAGTGGGACCACACCCACAACCTGCTATGTTTTCTTTGAGAAGCAGAATGCTCTCTTGACTCTTGAAGAATTCTGGAGCAAACTCAAGCATATTATGGTCTCTGAATCCCATAAAAACATCTATAATTTATGATCATGTAAAAAATGCTGGTGTAAAAGAATAGATGGATGGATACAGGCCGAAGAAAAGCTGACACCTTAGGTGAATGATGTGCAAAAGCTCTGTGTTATTACATCTGCCACCCTGACGCCCCCTAGAGCAGATGCTTGGGTGGATGTGGTGCCACCAGGTGTAAAGCCACAGCTCACGCACAAGCATCCCTGTGACAACTATCTAAGGTAGAATCATTGTACTCAAGGGAGTGATGAAGCCACAGGACCTGGCTCAAGAGGCTCCTTCCCAAGGTACAAGGGCACTTTATCCGCTGTGTCCTATGGGCTTGAAGTTGGCTCCTGGGAATGTACAGGGATGGGGAGAGGTGTCCATTACCTGACAGCTCGGATGGCAGCCTTGAGGGTGGGGATCATGTCTTCAATGAGGAAGTCATTCCCATAGCCCCTGTCTTCTGCCATGGGATCACCTGTCCCAGCATCTGTGAGGAGACATATATGTTAATTTAGTCCACCATAAATGGAACATATTAGAGACCGCTATGGAACCTGCGTCTCCAGTATAAACATTAGTCATCCCTCATCCTTATCCCCACACGTGGACCCCGGTTGTGACGACGCCATGTTTCCTTAGCGTCCACACCTAGCGGCAGGGAAGTGTGAATCAGGAAGTATGAGCAGGTCAGAACTGGGGTGGGGGAGAACCGTAGCAGGCGGTTCTGGCGAGCTGTGCAGGTGTGTGTGATCACGTGAGCAGCAGAAAACAGGTGTGGTCCTCAGACTCAGACACACCTGTGTTGGAATTCTGCTAAGTGACAGAGGTGCTTGACGTCACTGTTCCCATGATACTTAAGGCACGGGGTGTCCTTCTGACTTCTCCATCCCTAGGGGTGCTGGTGTGCGTCTTTCCAGATACCTGCCTCTGTGCATCCTTCTAGTTACCCTCATGGTTTCTCTCTCCAGCCACATTGCAGGTCCTAAGTCTCTCTGAGCTGAAAGGTTTGAGCTTGGTGATTCAAGCCTAGCTCACTGGGAAGTCTCCTCATTTATGAGTCACGGACTATGTCGCTGATGCATCCAGCCCGCCAGACACAAGGCCTGCAGCTGGCTGAAGGCGGGATGGGAGAGGCTGCTTTGTGGATGCAGGAAATCTTCAGTGAAGAGTGAGGAAGGAGAAGGGAGGGATGGGAGTCGAAGCAGGAAAGGCGGGAGAGAAGGGTGTTACCTTCAGAACTCTGCCAGAAAGCGTAGGCTTTCATGCGGAAGGCGGTGCGGAAACGCTCTTTATTGTTTAAGCCCACGGGCTTTGGTTCTTTAGAAGGGCTTTCTTCTATGGCATCTACATTCAGAGGGGTAAATGACTTTCCTTTAGTATTGCTACCACGAGGATTAGAAAGGCGAACCCGATCCAAGAGACCCAGCTTTTGGCTACAAAATAAGCAAAAGTGAACAATTTTCCTCCTTCAGTGCAGGTTCTTGTAACTTCCCACCCTTCCAGAAAGACTCATTCTCTCCCGAGGATGCACGGGGACCAGCGGTGGCTCGGATCCTAGTTCTGGCTCACAGCTTTTTGTTTGTTTGTTTGTTTACTACTGATTACATCCCAAGCAAATTCCCAACGCCCCACCCCCACCCCCGGAATTTCCGCCTGTGCTTATAAGGAACCCAAACCCTTACAGTATTATTCTTTACCAAAGTAGTTTCAAGGACCAGCAGTCAGCCACTCCAAAAATAACACTAGTTGGTGGGTAAAGTGAAAGTGGATACATTCACTGAGAAGAGGTTTTCATAACTGTTTACTGGTTATCGTTATTGGTCTTTAAAGTACCCAATTAATTAAGCTTCATCGTAGTATGCATGTATAGGAAAAAGACACACATCTATAGGGTTTGATATTATCTGCAGTGTCTTGGAGTGGACCTTGCATGGACAAGATTGGGTTACCAATGTATAGTCATTGTAAGGACTCAGGCATTATGCTGGCCTGCCCGTCACTTGGCAGGATGCACTCAGGCAGTACCCTGGTCAGCCCAGGACCCCTTTAAAAGGCAGACCCCCTGCCCACATACTTTTTTCCGCCAGCTCTCTTTCTGTTCTCTTTCCTGCTCATTTTCCTACTGTCCCCCTGGGGCAGACAGGGCTTTTCCTGTCTCCCTCTTCTCTTCTGTCCTCTCTCTCTCTGTGTCCGTGTCTCTTTTCCTCTTTTCTCTTTCCTTCCTCCTCCCTCCCCTTTCTAATGGAGCTTCTCACTTATGCTCGGTCTGCCTGGCGTGTTTGTTCCCCGCGGGTCACCCTCGCCTGCTATGCAATCCGCCAAGGTTCCCTTCGTCCTTTCTCATAACAGTCATATACAACAAAATTTCTTCTTCATCTCCTTCACTACATCAATAACTTGCCTTTTCTCATTACCATTTCATGATACCCTAATAACGATGGGCACAGGCAAATCCTCATCACGCACCAACCAGACATAGAATAATTATATGAATTACACAAAGCAGGGACTTTTGACCTGCTGTCCACAAACAGATTCCTCTGAAAGAACCTAGTGGGCTCATGAGTTTTGGTGGGAAAAGTACACCTTTAAATTACTAACTTCCGATCCAAATTTAGTATCCCTTTCCACTATTAATGAAGGTCACAAGCTCATCCAATATTGTGAGAGCATTCAACCTGGTATCATGTATGTATGCCATAAGGCTCACTGCAGGGAAGCTCTTGTTTGACTCCATTTCAACACTGAATTTCATAAGCACTTTTCAATGCGTGCCTTACGTTAAGTATTTTACATCTTCTTATGCTGTGTGTGCGTGTGCAAGCCTGTGTGCCACCACTAGGTATATGTGGAGGTCATAGGATAACTTGAAGGAATTGGCTCTGTCCTTCTACCATGTAGGTCCTGGAGGTCAAATGCATGATCAAAAGCTTGATGGCAAGTGCCTTTGCCTGCTGAGTCATCTTACCATATGTATGTAGCACATGTGTTCTGTTCCACATTCCACTCCCCAAGATGCAGAATGAACGAACCTCTCTTGCTTGCCAGGCCCTTTCTCGCCATCTCAGTCAATCTCATTATTTTACCTGCCCTTTGAAACTATGAAACTGTGGCTGAACACGCCCTCTTGGGAATTCAGTACTCTAGTCCTCCAAAGAAATGTGTTTGATATTTGACACATTTTACGAAGACTGTGCATTTCCATATCAGTTTGTGCCACAGAGTCACAGAGTAGGGACAGCCCCTACTTGGTACTTCCTGAGAGCTAGCATACCTCAAGTATGAGCATCGGGGAAAAAACTAGGCTGGGTAGAGACATCTTCATAACCCATGAGACTGACCTAGGACACATGAATTCATTTTCCTGGTTGCCAGATTCCTTATATGCAAGGTGGTGACCTTATACTTGTACCCACAGGGCTTATTATATGTTAAGTGTGACAATGCATGGAAAGTACTTATCCCCATTTACGATACAGGAGGCATCCACTAGGCACTGGCTGTTATCACTACCTTGGAAAATAATAATAATAATAATAATAATAATAATAATAATAATAATAATAATTCTCTTTCCATGAAAGCTATAGAAGGCTGATGACATGAGTGGAATGGATCAATGTAATTCCCTGGGGCGTAAAAGCGGGGCTTTGTGTTTTAGTTTAAAAAAAGTTATACAAAGTGAGATGAGCATAGGGGATTATATAAGCATCTTACATTTACTAAGTGCTTGTCTCAGAACTCACTCTGACTTGGTAAAAGCTAAAAGGTGAAGATTTTAATTACAGATGAACTAAATAAGGGCAAAATTGATGACAGCCACTTATCTTGACTGGAGATTTCAGCATGGGCTCTGAACACCAGAAGGATAATGAGAAGGTCCCCTTACTCTATCAGTTCTAAGATTCAGGATTCATTTTCCTGGAATTCAGATGCTTCGCTGCTATTCTTAAGAGTTTGAATTGCTTTGGCCACGTTCATTTAACAGCCCACTGGTCACGGATGACACTTCAGACCGTCTTAGGAATCCAGATACACTGGCACAGAAGCCTCCCTCCTCCACTGACCTATGCCTAAGCGGCTTACAGAATTCTTTCTCCAGCAAAGTGGATCTCAGCTTACTTCTTAATTGGGTTGCCTGAAATCCAAGACCCCAAAGGATAATGAAATGCAAGGCAAAGTTGGTGACTGAAACTCAACACCCCTCTGTGCCCTTCTCCATATGGACTTCCGGTTCATACATAAGACAGGCCCTGTTCTTAGGGGCAGCTGCTGACAAGAGTCCTCCTTGGAAAGCAAGAGTCCTCCATTTATCAGGTTCAGACCCATGATATTCACACCTGTATTTCAAAAACTGAAAACAGATTACTGGGGACGGAAAGGTAAGGTCCATATTGTTGTCTCTTGGCACATACAAGTACTGGGTTCCTATGTCTCATCGTAGCATCCAGGTTAACTCTGGCCTTGTTCAATACTACAGAGTTATCTGACATTCAGTGCTCTGGTGTCGACCTGCAGAACCTCCATCTCTTCTTACTTCATTGCTACCATTACTTTTCCCTGAAACTATGCCTGGTGCCTGAGCATTAGCCTCCAGGATAACGCTGCAACAAATCCAGATGTGCAAAGTGACATCCACCATTCAACATCTCCTTAGCATGCTCCAAGATGTTTTCATCTGTGGTGCTTGGCTACCATCCTTCAAAATTTGACTGCCTGATGACTCATGACTCTCCTGCTCAGTAAGATGTTCTTAGAGGTCATTGTCAGCATCTAGAGAGAGCTTGGTTAAACGACAACAACTTGGGAAACTCTACTGGACTCTTGTGGATAGAGAGGTAAAGCAGCACGGAGTCCAAGACAAAGGACCAAACCCACAATGAAGTATTATCTGTGCTACTGATGGTACTGAAGTTGCTAAACCAGGAGGCAAGCTTTTGGGCTGAGGGGACCTTGTTCAATTGCAAATGCAAGTTCTGTTGCATCACTAGTACTAAATGCATCTTTACGCTGTTAAATGGAGGAACAAATGAAGTCTTGATTTTCTTACTAATAGCATGCATACAGTTTCAGTAGAATGAGGGTGTGCTTATTATACTGTGGAAAGAGGGCAGACTTACGGATGAGAGAAAATAGTTCAAATCTGTTCATCTGTTATTAGTTCAACTAGGGTAAGCCATTAGCTCAGTGAACCACGTTCATCTATAAAATGAAGCTAATGTTTTTTCGTCTTTTTGTTTCTAATCCAGGCAAATGCGTTCAACACCTTGTGAGTTCTAGGTTCCTGATAACTTGCTGAGGAACTAACCTGGACCTGGATGTGGTTCCAATCTGTCTGTGACAGATTAAGAAGGCATACCATAAATTGCCTATATTAGTAGAATGAATTTGGTGGGGGGGGGGCAAAACTGAGAGGTTAATAAGAAAGACACTGAAACCTTCCAGGCAGAAGATGAGGATGGTGTGGGCAGGATGGCCATAGTGGGAATGAGACAGAGCTTGAACTCCATTTGGAGACGAATTAGCACTAGTCTTTCCTGATGGATTCTGAATAGGTGTGAGGGGAACCATTCCTGATACCTGGATTACATGTGGGAAAATGATGATGCTCATTTTAAAGCAGGACATGACCTGGCTGTTGAGAAGAAGTACAAAACACAGTTTGACATGTATTGTAGCTCTAGGAAGACTGACAGGCATCTTCACAAGGAAGCAGATCTGGATTGTGTCTATCTGAATTGTTGCTATATCCTCAGATGCTAAAATGGTTCCTGGTACATAGGACAATCTTTTTAGTCTCTTTTTAGTTATTGAATAAGTGGATGAATGGCCTGATAGTGGGTAGATGGGTATGGTTTTGGGCAAAAGAAGAGTTTTAAAGAGCATTAATCATGTGTGGTATATGTGCACATATACATTTGTTATATATATATATATGCCAGAAATATATATATATATATGCCAGAAATCCAGGTTGAGTGTCTTCTTCAGTTACACTCAACATTTTATTTCTTTTTCTTCCTTCCTTTCCTTTTACTTTTGAGACAGTGTATGAAAGTGAAGAGCAAATGCTTTTCTGTGTTGGTCTCCTAATAAAGTTTTATCCATGTACTCCATGTAACCACTTTTGTACACGAGACTCATTCCAACCAGCCTGTGAGGTCAGCATCAGCAAGATTCTCGCCTCACTGGTAATGACATGTTGGGGTGATATGGAGATACAAGAGGTCTGTGTTGGGGTGTTCAAAGTGACACAGAACACAAGAAGAGGAGTCAGTTTGAACTCCTATGACTGCTGCCTAATTCTACTACCTGGTTATTTTGAGTCCCTGGTTAGAAAAGATAAAGGACTATGGATCTGTAGGGATCCAGGGGTTCAAAATCCAATCACTGCATGGTTCTCTGTTGTTTTTTAATCTTACTAAGCTTCAGG